TAAGCAATCGCAGTCGTCCACTGGAGCAAATGGTCGACCTCCATAGATTACGTTGGTTGGGACGTGTTACGCATGTCACCAGGTAGGTTGCCACGGCGAGCGGTGTTCGCCGAGGCAGGTAGTGGGTGGATTAAAGCAAAGGGTGGTCAAGCTAAGACTTGGCATGAGGGTATGAAATCCCTAGCCAGGGTACTGGGTCACATAGGTCCCGTTGGGCTCCGTGGCTGGAGACCTCGGGATGATGGTCACCGATGGTTAGATACACTGAGTGAAATGGTTAGGTATCACAAACAGTGGCACTGGTGCATCTATTCATTATTCTCCTCACGACACTATATGAATTCTCCATAATCTGTTTGAATTTGCTCTCAACATTCCAATCTTCATCCTGCTCTTTTATCCAAATGGGGCACCATAAGACACCAACCCCGTTGGGCTCCCTGGCTGGAGACTCCGAGATCATACCCAGTGAATCATCGGATTACCATTACTAACAAAGGTTGTATGAATAACTTCTATCAAAGGGATGATTGATTAATTTATTTTTTACCTGAATTCACTCACTTTTGGTCCACCAGATTCTTTCGAGTGTGATGCGCGGTGGGAATGACGCAATAATCATTGCACCTCCGCTATCCAGATAGAATCTGGGGGGCGGTAGCGTAACTGCACTTGACAATGTATGGTCATCTGTTCCTGTTTCTTTAGTGTAAAAACTGAATTCTGGCTTGTTGCAGAATGACTATAGAGAAAGATAGACACACATGTCATCATCATGACTTTCGTTAACCTCTATTGTGATCACGTTCACGTCCCCCCGCCTCCCCCCTTCCTGCGGCACACTTTGACAGGTTAAATGGGCTTGCCAGGAATACGCATGTCGTGCTGTGGACTTTTTGGCACGTCGTACTCGACTGGCTTTTCTCAACGCTATCGCTGCGCAGGAAGCGTTGCCTCGGATTGTCGAACTGATGGCCGCTGAACTTGGTTGGGACAAAAAGAAACAGCAAGAAGAGCTGGAACATGCCCGAGTAAGTTGATTCTGAGATTCTCTTGTCCCAATTCGATCAGTCATCTCTGTGTCCGTCTGTCCTAGAGTTGGTAATCGGTTCGCATACACGAATAGGATGATCACTTTGTTCTGAGTCACGGCAACTATGAATGAGTTAATTGACATAATGCAATTATTTTTCTCAGGCTTCTTCCTTTTCTTCATTGTTTTCCAATTTCCTGTACACAGACACCAGGAGGTCATTGTAATCGCTCATACAACTAGTCAGGTGGGGGGAGACAGACTCGTTTGATACGCCTCGGTCACACACTTGACATCATTTTGTTCGGCTCTTCTTTTTCCCTAGAGAACTCAAAGATTAGTATTCAGACAAACACACATCTGTGGCCAGACTGTGTGCACCGAATAATTATTATATTTACAAAAAAGGAAAAAGTGCCATGATTTGTTTGTAATCGTGATACTGCCAGGTTATCCAGGCCAAGGCAGGTGAATTTCCTTGGGGACTTCACAACCGGAACCTTTCAATAGCCAAAGTATGACCCGCAGCGGAGCGGTGTGTGATTTTCGCAATCCTATGGGGGCTGGTGTCCAGTTCATCGGATCATACGCGTTTCGGGACGGGGTCAAACGTTCAAGGTGCCCAATACACCTTCATTTCTAACCTAGCAAGTGACCACTGCCACAACAAGAACAGTGTAAGTGGTTGTGATTCGTACGCCACTTCTTGATTGGTTTGAAATCAAGGTTTTTAGCCATCTCCCCTAGGTGAACTGCCAGTGGTTCACCCACCCGATTAGAGCCCCTTAACTGAACGGTTGGGAAACACTGATTCTCTCCTCCCCGTCAATTACAGCCCTGACCTTTTAAGAAGCAAAATAAATAGGCTAGTCCTCTCCCACCTCACAATATTCAATAAATAGTGTGTGTCGCTTTTCTTTACTGCACCACGCATGTAATAAAAGTTCACAAGCATTCAATTCCTTCTTCTCGACCCTATTGACTGAATGAGTTTTCTTCTCACTCTGTTTGATCTTAATCATCACATGGAACAAAACAGCCGTGGAGCTCGTGCCACAATTTACCTCAGTCCCTGATCCCACCCGAATAGGGATACATTAAACTGCCCGTTCGGAAGCACCGAAAACCAGGTACGAGACTGGAACGTGTGCGTTCACAAACGAGAAGTTTATTTCTATCTCACATTCCTTTTATACTAATAGCCGAAGCCGAGTCCCAGCTTATGGCACTTTTTCACCCGAGTTCACCACGGAAAGTGGTGTTCCTTAGGCTTGCCCTCTCTCGTCGTTTTTAATTATTTATTTATTTAATTCTTAAAACAGCCCTCGTCGTGCGAGGATCGCGATATCGATTTTCTCCCAGACTATCTGATCTAGAGTATGCAGATGACTTTGTGCTGCTAAGTGAAGATCAAGGTAAGTTTCAAGGTTTTCTGGATAGTTTGAGTGCTAGTGTAGCCATGTTCGGTTTGCGTTTTGCACTTTCAAAGTGTAAAATGTTGCTTCAAGATTGGGTTGGTCCTGCACTCAGTCTCATCCTGACTGCGGACGTAGTAGAGGAAGTAGACACATTTTGTTATCTACGCAGCTATATCTCACCTGGCGGACGCATCACAGATGAAGTATCGGCGCGTATACAAAAGGTTCGATTGGCATTTGCCAACTTGACCCATGTGCGGCATAAGGGCGTGGGAACGCTAACCAGGAGACTAGGTCACATAGGCCCGTTAGACTCCTTGGCCTGGGACCCCGAGGTGGTGGTCACCGATGGTTAGAGACACTGAGTAAAATGGTTAGGTATCACAAACAGTGGCGCTGGTGCATCTATTCATTATTCTCCTCACGACACTATATGAATTCTCCATAATCTGTTTGAATTTGCTCTCAACATTCCAATCTTCATCCTGCTCTTTTATCCAAATGGGGCACCATAAGACACCAACCCCGTTGGGCTCCCTGGCTGGAGACTCCGAGATCATACCCAGTGAATCATCGGATTACCATTACTAACAAAGGTTGTATGAATAACTTCTATCAAAGGGATGATTGATTAATTTATTTTTTACCTGAATTCACTCACTTTTGGTCCACCAGATTCTTTCGAGTGTGATGCGCGGTGGGAATGACGCAATAATCATTGCACCTCCGCTNTATTCTCCTCACGACACTATATGAATTCTCCATAATCTGTTTGAATTTGCTCTCAACATTCCAATCTTCATCCTGCTCTTTTATCCAAATGGGGCACTAAAAGACAGCAGTCAAAACCGGCGCACTAAAGTGCGCATGGTTAATGGTTGTAAAAGCTGAACTAAAGTGACGAATGCAGATGAGGATAATTCCCATGCGCTTAATTCGCAACTCAGAATTTCCAACGTTAACCCAACTTGGTTAGTGAACAGCTGTGCCCTAGCCAATGTACGACGTTTATTTCATGCGTTCCGTATCGGCTTCACTCCATTTCAAGAGTCGAGACTCATGTTCAGTGGATTCAACTCGAATGAAAAGAAAAATCATCTCTTCTCTGTCGTTCACTCCGCTGAATGTTCTTCGCAGTAAATCGTCTGATAATGAAATTCAGTTTCAGTTTGTACAACCATTAAGCATGCACTATCGTGCGCCGGTTTTGGTTGCTATCTTTCGGCTACCCATTTGGATGAACATTAGGAGAAAGACATAAAAGGTAGGATCGAAGAGAAGATTGAAAAGTTGAGTGGATTAATGAGACAGAGAAATTGAGATGCACGAACGCCACTGTTTACGACACCCAGTCATATCACTCAGTGTCTCTAACCATCGGGTACGACCATCCCGAGGTCCCTATCCAGGAAGCCTAACGGGACTTGTGTGACCTAGACTCCTGGTTAGGGTTTTCATACCCTCATGACAGGTCTCAGCTTGACTAACCTTGGCTTCAAATGGGTGCCTAAGACTTAAGGGCACGACATACTTGCGGTAGCCGACACCGACAAAGGGGTTTTCTTTGGTAACCCTAACCGGAGCCTTTGACTCAAAAGTCTGACCCACAAAGCAGTAGGACATAAATTCAACGCAGGAGCGTGAACGAAGCACCCGTGTGGGATTTTCTGGAGACCTGTCACACAAGGCCTTTGAATTTCGGTTAAGTTTGTTATTCGCTGGTGCGTTGATTAGCGGTCCGCTTTTCGGGATCAGCCCTTAGCCTCATGCACTCAATGAGACAAGCGGAATGTGGATGGGACAGCACCTTATTGGCTGGTGGCTGCCCAGCTTGGGCGAGCGGTAGTTGTCCAATTAAGTGCGAAGACTTCCCTCACCATCGAGAGGAAGCTCCAGGTACCCTGTTCCTACGTCCATCTAGTGGGGGTTTTCGACCGATAAACCGCCCCTCACCGTGTTTATTCGCTGGAGTGGCCTCTCCAGGGGCGGGTGTGGATAGAATGAAGGAAGCCAGGAGGTGCCCAAGCAGGTGGCTTTGTGAGACTGAGCTTTGTCTGGCCTCTACCCGTTGACCTTTCGTGTATGATTGGATCTAAGGCTGTGAGGAGCCATCCTGTATAGCTCGCAGGGTCATTGAGGAACGCAAACCATCACACCACATCGAGGTGCAGTCTCGTCGTGATGGGTAATGAAATTTGTACTCTGCGGTAAAAAGATTATATCAGACAACAGATATGATGATCAGTGTTTCCGTATTGATCGCTCAGGCTATACAATATACCTGTATTTGCATGTACTGGATAACGGAACTAATAAGTTAATAGGGTACTGTTGTCAGGCCAACCAAGAGTACTGGATAACTGTTTAATCCTGGTTCGGCGGCATCTCAACACTGGAATCCATNACACTGGAATCCATCTTTGTGTTCCTGCTAAGACTCCAACTGCATATCTCCGAGCGAGTCCGAAGGCGAATCAATTACCTTTGAACGACACGACCGATGGCCAAGACTTGCCCTCGGACTTGTGTGCAAATGCACGAACATAAAGTCACTAGGTATTGTTGTAGTTTGTCTGAATCTCACTCCAATTGAGTTTATCCAATCCCTACAACAATGCATGTGAATTTTCATAAGATAAAATAGGGCATAGCCGCTACTTTTGTTCACATGGTGTTCGCATCGGTTACTCAGTCTCCCTCCGATCGTCGTCAGCATATGTGACTAATAATCTATTTTGTTGTTTTCCTTGTGGTTGTTGTTTTCGTTTTGCTTTCGCCGTTCCATAGGATTTCATTCTGAATGAAATGACACCGCATTGTCGATCACGTTATTCCTGAGCCACTGGAGGTTCTGGCTTCGGTAATTTTGATCGTCACTCTTGTCTAGCACATCATGTGAGCGTTTGTTTGAATCCATTCGCCCGCGCCGTACTGTTTGTGTTCCCGTAGGCGTTTGTTTACTCAATTTTTTTTGTTCGATGTTTAGCCAACAACCTTCAATTTTGTTTTGTTGTGTTTCACTGCAATTTTGCTCACGTGGTATCTCTCTGTCTGTTGAGGGTGTGGTCACAACACACACGTACACAATCAGACGATTACATAATTGACTATCTTGTTTGTTCCATCTTGTTTTTTTCTTCTTTCGATTGATAATATGCACTTTTTCGATCGGTCGGTTCCGGTTGTACGCAGAGTTATCATCAGATTGTGTCGTTGTTGAATTTTCTCTTGTTTTTTTTGGCTGGTTTAGTAGGTTCGTGGGTTTGTGTGTGTATGTGCGCGCGCATTTACGGTAATCTAGTCTTCCGAATATCCGATGTGACTCGAAAGTTGAAAAGCCCGTTATCAAACAAACTGCACTTTATCGCCCACCATTCTTCACGATTATTGTTTTTGTTGTTCGTGAACTTTTAGTCCCTTGTAAGGACAATTGGGTTGCTTTTTTTTCTCCTGCTCTTCTATTCCCCAGTTTTCTTACAGGATTTGGTGAACTATTCTTTGATGGATCACATAGAAAAGGGCACATATTTTGCGGTGGTTTTAAGTTAGGTCAATTTTATTGAACATTGTCGTACGCGCTTTCTCACTGTATTCGTTTATCCAAATAATGTTGTAGCTTGTGTACACTGTGCACGGCCTAGACGGTAACTATGCGCGGATCCAAATCCCACCGAAGTTACTGAAATTTTCACAATTGAAAAACATGTTGTAATCAGTTTTCACGATTATTTTCTCTGAAGAATTTCTCTGTTCGTCGATTCCATGTGAACTTTTGGAATCAGACTGACGTGATTTAATAAACTGAGAAAAATATCGATTTCTGATTTGTTTTTTTTGGTTCACAATTTCTAAATGACTGAATATAACTCCCGCTATTCTAACATATTACTATTCGAAGCAACAATTCACACATGGGCTGTTAATAGAAAACATCTACGAAGACCGCCCTTGTCCCATCTCGGATACACAACGGGGAGATCCGTAATTTGCACACCTTTTCCGAGCTCAGGTATACGCGCATCACGTGACAGATTGGCACATGATGAACATCAGCAAGCTCACGATCCGGGGTTTACTTTTGCTCGCGGACCGTCCGTCATTCGGGAACATTTATCTGAATCAAAGTGCTCAATTTGACATCCCCCCCTCAGAGAAATCCGTTGCGCACAGAGAGATATTTGGCAAGCAGGATGTTTCTGCTTCAAACTTGTGAAATAGAATTCCGCATTGGACACTGGTCAAGTCAATGAAAGAAGTTGAGCTCCGATTCATCCATCCATCATTCACCAGTTTACTGCCGAACTGGTCACCTTTGAGCAACCCACCATGGAACTCGTGTTGTCATTTGTTGTTATATCATCGGATCTGAGCTCTTGATTACATGACGGTCACGCCTGGACTATTCACGACCGAATCATAAACCCTTAGACTATAGTGCTGTGATGCTCTGAAGCTAACCCTCACAATCGGGTTTCCATAGTAGGTTATCTCTCACCGAAATTGACCAGTCAGGTTATCGGCTTGATGCTTGAGTAAACATCACGCTATTGTTCTTCATTGGTCCTAAATTTTGATTCTTCCCTTTTACTTCCTATTATTAAATTGATAATGATACAACTTTTACTAAGAGCGTAGCAATCAATCAAGGGGCTGCCATTCAATTCATAGAAATGGAGAAAGTCAGGCGGTGGTGGTGTTTGGATTCGAACACACGCCCTTCGCAAATATAGTTTGGCGACCTTTACCACTGGGCCACCGCCACAGATGGCAATTTAGTGGAAGAACATTTTCAAATCTAAACTATTTACTGTACTCATACTTCATCAGATCGCCCACGGCGTTTTTTCTGTCACATAGCGAACGATTCGACGCACATTCACCCGCCGATTCTGGTAAATATTTCATGGTTCGTTTTCACCCATGCTTCGTCAGAGCTGGCAGGCTGGTTGCTAGGTTGTTCCCCGACTTGTTGCTCCCTTGGTTTATTTATTTCTCTTTCTCTATATTTTTCGTCCTTCATGCGTGCCTACTCGTGTTGATAAACCGATACCGCTTTCTCTCTCAGCTCGATAGTTTTCATTCTTTTTCTGTTATTGTTTGCGATTTTTATATTTAGTGATGTCTATTTCTGGAGCATGTTATCTTTTAACCCCTCTCCCTATCCTCTCAATCTGTTTTCACCCGACCCATCCACCTCCGCGTTTGCGGTGACGGCGAACAGAAATTCCTTGGTGTTGAGATGGGCTTTAATTTGAGCTCTCAGGATACCGTACCGCTCAATTTGACTTTAGAAGAGACCGAAGTATTGCTTCAACGTTTCCGGCATGCGGATAGTGGAGGAAAAGGTTACATTTCCCTGACTGATTTGGAACGACTGTGTGATGTGAGTAATGATGGTATTTTGTTGGATTTTCTCTGATATTTTTTTCGCATTTATAGTTTATTTATTATGTACATTGTGACGGTTAGCGTGTATGCTTTTTAGCTGAAATGTGAGCTCCAGTGCTTTCAAAGTTATACACAATACAATACAATACAATTCGAGCTCATTGGCCAGGAGTATATTGTGTGTTGAAATGATCATGATTTGCCATATCGATTCATCTTTTTATACGCCCCTTTTGGGCTCCTATTATGTTCACCTCAAGGGTTTGAACCAAAGACTGCTTTACGGAACTTGCTAAACGGGATCACAATTTTTTGAAACTGATACATCATCATCATCATCATTGTACAGCGTAATACAGTAAAGCGAATTTCACTGATCGCTGCCAACCTCATACTAAATACAAGGTAAGTGAGTATGTGTAAGGAGGATAGAGATTGGGTTTATTTTCAGGGATGGGAAGAGAAAGTGAACCTCCATGGTCAACAAACACAGAGTACACAGTCCAACTGTGCGTACGTACTATTTCAAGCATGCTGATCTGGTAAGAAGTGACGACGTGATCGCCACTGCTGTCGGTTTGCTCCCATGACCTTCAGTGTCTCCACCCTTCCGGTTACGGAATCTTTTGAACCCCAACCCGGAAGATGCGAGACACCTAATCTGCCTAATCGCTCTGTGCATTTCGTGATGCGTCGTCTCCGCGTCATCTGCTGACCTCCACGTGAATTTCTCCAGTCTGCAACAGCCACTGCAAGTGAGGCGCGCTGCGGTAGAAGACCGTCAGTTATCTCCCTTTCATAAGAAATCGACCGCTCTGCACCGTGTATCGGTCATCGCATTGTCTCTTATGCCATCAAGCGTATGATACGTTTTATTCCGAGTCATTGAGCAATTATAC